TGCTCCCGTACGATGGCCACAACCTCCTCGTGGAGGATCTTCCTGATATTGACATCCAACTCATCTAATCTCATCTGATTGTCAGTCCCTGATCCCGACGCGGATCCAATCTCAACTCGCCTCGTAGTCACCATACTGAAAATACACCAGGAAGATATCAGATAATCCACATAAATAACAGGTAATCAACTCCCAACAAATCCCTAGGGGTTGTGACTTCCTTGCTATATATGTGGGTCACGTGCTTTCAATAGTATGATTCTATGCTGCCTTCCACACATACCCGTGTTTGTCTTAAGGATTATCACAACACACTAACAATACTCATAAGCATAAACGAACGCGCAGTCCTCACTTCTAGAGGAAAATCTAAACATCTCACTATTGGCCAACTGAGCCCTCACGACTCATCCATGAGACTTCCAACAACCCTACAACACTCATGTATGATAGTCATACATAACACCAGACCCTATAGACATTCGAATATCTTATCCTACCCTAAGCCCTTCATCAAATAAGAACAAGAAATAAGTCCAAACCAAACGTTCTCATGCTATAAGATCTTAGTTATATATAATCATTATGCATACACTAAGCAACTACAATAATGATGTAAATTTCATAAAAGAAAAGGCCATAAGTTATTTGGCATCATATAATCAGGCAATTCTATCACTCAATTCCTGAAGATCCCTAGCATGTTGTTCTAACATATCACGGTATCAAATAATAACATGGTATTTTGGGGTCTACTTACTGGCTCCGGTTGGTCATACACACAGCATCCTCCTTTAGTATTTTGAAAACCATTTGAAAAACTTTTCCTTAGTTTGAGACTGGATTCACACAAGTGTTCCTCCAATTCACTCAAACCAAGGCTCTAATACCAACTTGTAACATTCATGAAATTTTAAAAATTTTAAAAATTTTAAAAGTTTTACATAAATCCAAAAACCATCATTTAATACATATTGTTTTCAAAATAGGGTACACATAAGAGTTTTTCCCATAAATCATAACATAAAACACGAGGAGGTGCACGATCAAGCCTTCGTCTTTTCGCGATCATCTGAGGTACCTGAAACATAACCAAAAACTATAAACCCAGAGCTTAGCGAGTCTTCCGTAAAATACCACCACATAACATAACATACAACATCATGCATAAATGAGCCTTCAGCCTGACTGGACTGCCTAACAGGACCGTTAGCCTATTTGGACCGCTCCCGAGTCTTCAACATGACTAGACCACCTCACAGAGCCTACAGCCAATCCGGACCACTCGTTGGGACTTCGGCCTGACTAGACCGTCTCGCATGCCTTTAGTCTATCCAAACCGCCATGGGTCTGTTGGCCTATAACACAAAGTAGGATCGCGTCAACCCAACCACACATACACATGTCGACATATACATAACTCATAACTACATATTCAATTAACAGGCAAGCATAGATCATATAGATCAATGAGCATAGCATCATCCTATCTACCCGAATACAAATCTAACATATCATAACAAGATAGCAACATCCTATCTACCAGGATAACCATCCAAAAAGGGCCGACATTGGTGCCTTCCACCCATATGTATAGCGAGGAAAACTCACCTCACAAGTAGTGCTGAACCGGTAAAATCCAACTCCAAAAACTCAGCTCCGGACTCAGAAGCCTACAACCTCCAAGGGTATGTTGACCCAACTCGTCCATGGTCAAAGTCAAAGTCAACATTCAAGGTCAAAGTCAACATCCAAAAAGGGTCGACATGGCACTAGGATGCTAAAACATTCTAAGAAGGCTTAATAAGGGACCTAAAGCATGAAAGAGGCCTATAACTAAATAAAACTTGCAGCTTTAAGTCCAATGAGGCCATGAGACATCCAGATTCGAAGTTATAACTTCATGGCATGCTCAATCCAAGAACAAACCCAAAAACGAGCCCATGTGACAATACACTTTCAAGGAATGGGATCTAAGCTATAGATAAGCAAGGTGTCGACTTTATACCTCCAAATGACTGCAACAATATAGAAGATTCTGGATCTATAACCTCCTTTCCACACAAACCACTTCAACCTTCAAGCTTCATTAAAAAGAACACCAAGTAAACACTCTTCAACCTCACACACACACAAATATGGAAAAGAAAGCATGAAAGTAGGGCTTTTGGATAAGGGAGACAGGTAAGGAGGGCACCTAAAGGGTATAAGACCTTTAAATAGGGTGCAACACCTTAAAAATTAGGTTTTCTTTATCAGCCACCAACTCGTCGAGTTTTCCTCTCCAAATTGTCGAGTTGGTCCAAAAAGATCTGCGTCCCAAAGACTTCAACATGTCGAGTTGAGGCCATCAACTCGACGGGTTCCAAGGAAAATTGCCTTTTTTAACAAAAATTCTCATACCTGGGAATCAGGATGTTACAAATAGCCATATCGAGGGTCGGACCCGAGCATAACTCTCCGATGCCTAAGTTAGATTGCGACTCTCGATGTGCTTTAGTGTTAAGGAATATGCACACTTCTTCCTTACCTCTCCCGATTATCAACGAGCAGGCGGGTTTCATGTCCTTTCCTTATATTATTTGCTTCGTACCATTTTGCATATTTATAGGGATACAATTTTGTTGCTTGTGTACGCTGTATTCAACTTCATATTTATGCGAAGCAAATGGTAATGCCTGTAAAGACAACCTAGTGAGTATCGGGCCGGTAGTGGGTTTCCTCGAACTACCGGCCTGGTACACCATTAAGAACCAAAAAGGTACTAAATGGAACCAAAAGTTATGTTACTGTGAAGACAAATATATACACAACACATGATGTAGAATTAAAACTCTATTCCAAATCACATTCCAAATCAATTCATTTGAAGACTATATAGACACATTAATAACATAAACAGATTTAATATACATTCACAAATCTAATAACATTCAAATGGAATTATAATAAAACTAAAAAGGTATTAAATAAAACAAAAAGTTATGTTCTTGTTAAGCCAAACATATGTACAATACATGATGTAAATGTTAAAGCTCCATCCCATATCACATTCCAAATCAATTCACTTTAAGGTTTTGGCCACATGCTCCTACCATTTATTGGGACTATTTTGTTAGAGTACATTGCCATCCATGTCTCTAGCCTATAACATGGATCCACCTAGTATTAAGTCTCTTGGGCTTTTTTACCATTTTGAATATGTTCCCATATGGCACAAACTTGTAATACTCGGATTGTCAGTACAAACTCTTGCAATTATTTCATTTATCCATGGACTGGACTCGAGTACATTATGCATACACAAGGTACGCACATGGTACTCCTATGCATGCATAAAGCGGGGATGTCCCTTACGTACACTGGGCATACACATGTGTATGCAGGGTGTACGTAAGTTCGGGACAAAGCTTAATTTTTAGGGTTTTCACCCTATTTAAGCTCATTAAGTCCTCCAAGTCCTTCACCTTACCAGCCTTTAGTGCCTTATTCAGATAACCTTGAAATCATAATCCATTTTTCCTAGAGTTTGAGCTTGTGGGTGTATCTTGCGTGTGTTTGGTGCTTATTGAAGAAGAAAAAGGCTTGAGGATGCAATTCAAGCCCGTATAAATGATAAAAAGCAATAAATATACTTTTTTGTCTGTAATTACAAATTTGGTTATAAAGGCTTAAAATCCCATTGTATGTTAAAAAAAATCAGCAAATAATATTTTACAAAACAAAGATATTTTTGGGGTTCGGGAGAAGAAGAAGGTTTTGGAAATCGATGAATAGTTTAAATATGTTTGAAGAATTGTGTGATCGTTTTCTGGATATGGTATTTTAACATTATGTTTGTGTTACACAAGATGCAAATTATGAGGTTAATTCTTTAAAAAACAATTTCAAATTAAGATAACCACAAACTATGGTTTTGTAGAATTTGGATTCTTCTTATTACCAAAGATAAACATTAATCACTATTATCTCGTTTTTCCTAAGACACCAATAAAAATATACTATTAACTCGATATTTATTTAATATTTGTTTTAACTTAATAATATGTATTTTGTGTTTGTCTTATAATATTGTATTATTTTTATGATATTTTATCTTTCGCAACCACTTTATCGGTTAGTGTTTATCAAGCGTTATCATTGAATTATTTCATCCATATATTAGCTACCTTTCTAGCTAGTCTAACAAACACAACATTATTATTTAACTTTCTATTTGAGACATATCTCATGATATCTCAATCTTATTTTATAAACCATATCTACAATCTAGTTTTTTTTATAATCGTATATCTTATGAATATAGATAGAAGTATGAGAAAGGAAAGTATCCGATCTGAAAATAAAAACCAAAAATTAAAAATCTTGCACAAGAAAAGTACATAAATATGACCGTTGGAAAAAAAAACCCTATTGCTTATTTCGACAACCTTAAGCCAGGAATCCTGTCTCTTTTGCCTCCATTAGTTCTCCTCAATCTGTCGATTAGCGTAGTGCACCATTTTACCCACAAATTTTACAACCCCAAGGTTAAAAAGGTGAAACACCCCTACAAGCTAACGGCTACCATTTTACATGCCATTAAATCCATCTTGATTATCAGCCGTTGGATCTTCTGACACCCACTTTTGTCTCTCTCTTTCTCTTTAATATATAAACCCCTAATTCTTCTTAGTCTTACAGTTTCCCACTCTCTTCCACTACTTTCTTGGTTTTTGCCTTCTGGGTCTGTTTCATTATGTTGAAGTTTTGCGATTTCAGAGGGTTTCAATCCATGAAACTTCTTGTGATGGTTGTGTTATCGATCTTCCTTCTTGTTTCTGGTGATGAAGGTAAGCAACTTTCAAGATTACTTTATGTTCGTGACTTCATGTTGTGTTTTGTGGGTTTTTGGTTTGATTGCATGAAATATTAGGTGTTTAATGACATATTGCTTTCCATATTTGCGTGTTAATGATTGTTTATTGTCCCTTAAATGGCTAGGATTAGCAAATAAAAATTGGGGAAAAAATAGAAGTTTTATTCTTTGCCTTCCATTAAGTATTTATCTTGTGTTTATCTATTTTACTAATTTTCTTTTATTAAGTTTTTATTTTAAATTTATTTAGTAGTCAAACAAAAAGTTATTGTATGATAACTAAAAAATACAACAATACAAAAATTGATTTGGAAGTTAATGTAAATATAGATCTACCATTTATTGTCTCATTGACGATATGAGTGCTACGTCATGTGAGGTCCACGTGGAATAATATTATTCTTGGTGTTCCATCTTTCAACTTCAACGAAAGTATTTTGATTAATAAATAATTTTCTCTAGCCGGAAAAAGTAATAAATGTTGATATATCAATGTTATTTATGTACTCTATCATTTTGTTTATTGTTTGTTTTTGTAATATTTAAATTAAATTTGATATTAAAATGAAAATATCATTCTTGTCTTGATACTAGCCAAAGGTCAAATTTTTGGGAATTATGAAACGAACCAGTCCATATTGTTACCGCTTTAGTAAGCATACCACGTGGCATATCACATATGTGCACCATTGTAATTATTTTTTTTCCGAATATAATTTATTATATTTAAATTTTTACATGCAAATAAAATATGTAAGCTTTGTCGTGTTTACAGATGCATTCATCGGAGTAAACATCGGAACTGATCTTTCCGACATGCCACACCCAACTCAGGTCGTCGCCCTCCTCAAATCCCAACAAATCCGTCACGTCCGGTTATACGACGCCGATCGAGGGATGCTCACCGCCCTCGCCAACACCGGAATCAAAGTCGTCGTCACCATCCCCAACGATCAACTCCTCGGAATCGGCCAATCCAACTCCACCGCCGCCCATTGGGTATCCCAAAACATCGTCGCTCATTACCCCGCCACCAACATCACCACCATCTGCGTCGGCTCCGAGGTCTTCAACAACCTCCCAAACGTCGCCCCTGTTCTAGTCACCGCCCTCAAATTCATCCACGGCGCTCTCGTAGCATCAAATCTCGATCGTCAGATCAAAGTATCAACCCCCATCGCATCCACTATCATCCTCGATTCCTTCCCGCCATCACAAGCTTTCTTCAACCATTCGTGGAGTCCGGTGATGGCGCCGCTTCTTAAGTTCCTCCAGTCCACCGGATCTTCTCTTATGCTTAACATATACCCGTATTACGATTACATGAACTCAAACGGAGTAATACCTTTGGATTACGCTTTATTCAAACCATTGCCGGCGAACAAGGAAGCGGTGGACGCGAACACCCTTTTACACTACACCAACGTCTTTGACGCCTCGGTGGACGCCGCCTACTACGCCATGGCTTCCCTGAACGTCACGAATGTTCCAGTTCTTGTAACAGAATCCGGTTGGCCATCAAAGGGCGACCCAAACGAACCAGATGCTACTTCAGACAACGCAAACACTTACAACAGTAATTTAATCAAACATGTCTTGAATCAAACCGGAACTCCAAAGCATCCTGGGATTCCGGTGAGTACTTACATCTACGAGCTATACAACGAAGACATTAAAGAAGGGTCGGTTTCAGAGAAGAATTGGGGACTTTTTGATGCGAATGGAAAACCGATTTATACTCTACAGTTGACGAATTCGGGTCCGACTTTTGCCAACAATACTGGGAATCTGAGTCATTGTGTGGCCATGGAAGGTGCTGATAAGAAAATGTTGCAGGCGGCGTTGGACTGGGCTTGTGGGCCGGGGAAGGTGAACTGTTCGGCGTTGTTGCAGGGGCAACCGTGCTATGAACCGGATAACGTGGTGTCACATGCGAACTTTGCTTTTGATGCTTATTATCATATGATGGGTAGAGGTGAAGGGACTTGTGATTTTAATGGCGTTGCTACGTTGACATCCACTGATCCAAGTAAGGGTCGAAATCGAAATTATTATCTGTTCTTTGTTTATTACTCTGTTTCGAGGTACTGAAATCAGCTCTTTGGGTGTTGTTGCAGGTCATGGTTCTTGTCAGCTTTTTGGAAATGGTGGGATGAATGGGACGTTTTTGAACAGCACCATAGCTGATTTTAATTCTACAAGCTCCTCCGCAGGTGGCGGCGGCTATGGTGGTGCTGGTGTTTTGATGAAGGTTGTGTTTGTATTGGCCGTGGTGGTGTTGTGATTGATTGTGAGAGAGATGTCATTGGTCCGGTTCAGGTGGAGGAGAATTCTTCCGATTTTGGTGGTTTTTGTGTGGACCGGAGGGGTGGTTTTGTACAAAAGGAGAATGATGGAGGGTTAGTTTTAGAATGCCATTTTTTTGTTGTAACTTTTCATTGGAGCTGTTGTTGTTAATGTTGGACTTGGGGGTCTCAAATTGAATGAGATTTTAGGCTGGTAAGCATTCTTTTTGATTATTTAATCCTTTTTTTTTTTTTTTTTTTAAATTATAAATGGTTCATTGAATTCATGCAAATTGTAAGCCTTTGTGGTGAATATGCTTCAAAGAAATTGGTTATTTTTTGCCCGTTTGAGGTGGCATGATTGCAAACATGACTTCAATCATTTCGCTCTAAGAGATACCAATTTTTTCAAGTCCATATCAAACCACAGTAAGTCTTTACATATAAGCAATATGATAGGTGGTGTTGTACTACGGAGATGGAGGTTGAGGTTTTTCATTTATTTTATTCATATGACTTGTGTCTTTCGGAGGTGGAGAACGCGAGAAAGATTGTTGGAATCATTATATGTTTTTTAGATTGTTGGAATCATTATATATTTCTTGCATATTACATATATGGGTGTTGTGGTTGGTTTTTGTATGTCTCGGGTCTTTTCGTGGTTGGGCCTTTTTGTGGTCACTTTATTAAAGTCCAAGTCTCTTTAAATTGCAATGTTGTATTGCATCAATTTTTGTTTGGAAAGTCCAAGTCTCTTCTTATCATGGTTCTCATGATCCTTGGTTTGGTATATGTAGGGCGATGCGATTATTGAGTGATCGAGGTTTGGACCTCCAAGCTCTTTGTCCATTTTGTATTGGATATTGGTATAGGATTGACTTTTGGCAGTATACTTGGATTGGAGATCACCCTCTAGTTGTTGATTTTCATAGAGTTTTTGCTTTAGACCTCCATAAGGTTGGTTCAGTTGCCACTAGGCATTCTTTTGGTTGGACGGTTGATTCTCTCAGGAGGAATTCGACGAGTGGTGTGGAAGAGTCTTAATGGGAGACATTCCTTTGGTTGATGCATACGTGTAGATTGGTGATTGAGCAGACAGATTGTATTGGTCTTTAGATCCCTCATATTGTTTTACAGTTGTGTTAGTTCATGACTTTCTTGATAGAGGTACACTTCCTAGTGGGGGAGTGTGAGATTAGATGGAATTCTTGGATGTACATCAAGTTGAACATCCTTCTTTGGCGTGTCATGTTGCTCAATATTCCATGCGCGAAAGACTTTCTGCTAGAGGGATTCTTGTCCCCTCGATTATGTGTCTAGTGTGTTCGATTGTGGTAGAGACTATTGATCATTTCTTTGTGTGGTGCTCTAGTTTGGTTGGTGTTTGGGATCAAATTGCCATATGGTGGGGAGTTCAACTTCCTATGTCTACTGTGTTGCATTCATGCGTTCTTGGGCTGATTCGACTCGCTTGATTATAGGTCAGAGGAAGGTGTTTGATGCAGTTGTGGTTATAACTATCTGGGTCATTTGGAATTTTAGGGACTTTATTATATTCGATACTGTAACGCTCGGTTCCTAGGTAAATTTCTCAAGTTTTAAATAAATGTTTATGTTAGGCCATTACGCTAAGCATAATGGATAGTTGCGTTGAGTGTAACTCATTTAATTTGATTGTGGATTTCATCTCGTACGTATGAGTAGGCTTAGCGTACTCATGCATAGTGTATTGTTTGTCCAAAAAAAGAAACCCGCACCCGCTATTTTTTTTACCCAAGGCCTATTTCTTTTTTATCCTGAAATGATGAATTGAGTTCGTATAGGCAGAACCCTAAATTTTAGGGTTTGGACACTATTTAAACACCTTATGACCTCAAGGCCTCTCTCTTATCACCAACCTCCATTATCCCAAAGCAATCCCCTTGAAACCCTAGCCCCATTTGAGAGAGAGTTGAGCCTTTTGAATGATCTGGTGTGTTTTTGGTGCATATTGAAGAAGAAAGAGCTTAGTGGAGAAGTATTGGTTGGTTTGAAGCTTGTAGATCCATACCTTGTTCATCTTGATCGTCCTTTTTGAGGTATATAATCTCAATATTGCTGATTCATTTCTTAGATCTAGTTAGCTTAGGGTTTTTGGCATATTTGGTCCCATGGGTTGATTCATGGGAGTAAAAGCTACTCCATAAGCATAGGTTATCATTCCTTGATGTTTATGAGGTCCCTAATGTATAGAAATTGTATCTTGATGACTTTGGTTCATCCATGCATGAGTTGATGTTCATAAAATGAAATTAGAATGTTAGAAATTGGTTTTGAGCTTATTTGAGCCATGCAAAGGCATCAAGTTGACGACTTTATCAGTTGAGACATTCCCAAGAGCAAGATGTATGATTTGGACTTTAGACATTAGGTATTAAGTGCCTAATATGGAATTTGGGCTGTAGGGGAATATGTTGGGTGTAACCTCTGGGTACGCTCAGCGTAGCGTGTTCAGCCCCGACTTCCTTTGAAACTCCCGCGTTTCTGGCTAAGCATTAGTATGATGATGTAATAGTTAGGGTCAACACTTGTAATCTATTTTGAAGTGATGAAGAAGAATTATTTGAGTATTATTTGATTTATGTGATTTATATGCAATATACATGCTTATAACGATGTAATAAGATAATAATAAAAATATGCATCAAAAATAAAATAATAGATATACCCAATATCTATGAAGAAAGTTGAAGTGGTCGTAACAAAGATTTCGGGGATATAAGGAAGACTAAAATCCAACTTATAACGAAGAAGTTATGATCCGTCGAAGTTTTGCAACAAAACCGACACAACGTTGTGTGTCGTAAAAAGTGAATTTGCGATGAAATACTTTTTAGCCTTAGCGATCTAAATGAAAGTCGTTGTATATGTTAAACCGAGAGCATGCATATAGAGAACGTTCAAATCTGACTTCGTTAGACGAAGTTATGATTTTTCTAAAATTTGGCATAGGCGTATGTTGGTCGGAAATCAAATTTTAGATCGATCGATTTTTAGCCGACACAATCTAAATGAGAATCAAAGATCTCATTTTTAGAAGTTCAACGATGTAAAGACAGACGAAAACGGACGTCGGATGACAAAGTTTTGAATTTTTAACGGACTTTATCTGTTTAAGGCTTTAAGCCTATTAAAATATAACTTTAAAAATAAAGTCAAAATTAGCCGATAGAGTCTAAATGAAAGTTGTAGATCACGTCGCTACCTACGCCTGGATATAAAGAACGTCAAAAACGGAGCTCATATGTGAAAGTTACAGAATTTGTAAGTTAATTAAATTATGGGTTAGATGCGAGGTTGACAAGTGGCAAGATCTGGACCTTTCATTTCTCTCCACGACTTCGCACCGGATTGCAACACTTTTCGTGCGTACGCCCAGTGTACTCCAAAGTTACGTCCCACATACTCCCATTTCTCATCCTATAAATAGAGGCGCAAATCTTCCATTTTTCTCACACATTTCCTATTCTTTCTCTTTCAAATACCCCTCTTAGCCCCTCCCCTTCCTTAGCACTTCCCAAATGTTAGAGGCGAAGCCCAGAGTATCAGAAGGCTCCGAGAAGAAGAGCTTTCGGATCAAAAGTTCTGCCCCTGCAGAGCCCGACTCCTATCTAAACTTCATTGTAAATGAGTATGGTTACCCTACTTTAAGTATGACTTATGTTTAAGTTCATTATCATTATTTTCAACCTATAAACAATATATGTGCTAAAATTAAAAATTATACAAAGTGTTATTATAATACCATTTAACCGGCCGCGGTACGGGGAATCTGGTTTGAAGGGCCGCATAGGGTTGTTGGATTTCAGAACAGCTAAAATGCCAAAATGGTCTTGCTTTCCGATGTTTCATGTATGGCCCTTGTATGTACATAGTAGTTGAAAATATTGTTTAACACTTATATAATACAAGAAAAAAATATCGCTCATAGAACTTGAGTTAATGATAAATCTAGACTAATAATTACCTGCAATAAATATTAGACTAAAATCTAGTGATAATGATACTAGGTTTCGTCGAAGGAAATTAAAATTATTAGAAGCGAAGCACTGCTCGAGCTTGGAGTCATCATTTTAACAAGTGATTGCATAGTTACTTTCATCTTACACATAGATATGAAGTATTTAATATAAATTACATGCTATGTGTGCATATTAACTGTGTTCTTGATATTTATGTTGGATGAACAAAATGTACATGTTTTATTCAATTTAAACTGTATATGTACTTTATACATATAATTATGATGGGTAAAGATGGGTAGATAATATAGACGATGAAATAAATGATGAGAGGCCTCAATGTTTAAGCTAATTTAGTCATCTAGCAAAGTATATATATGATGACCACAGACTATTCTAGACAATCTAGTGGAACGTTGGCAGGCTCGCAACTTGTAGGTGTTTGTGAACGATGTGTTCACCGGTGTACTCCATCCCCTTCATGTTTGCCTCACTAACATATATTGTTGAGGAATCCTCTACGCATTATTGTCATCCCGATGATGATCCTTGGGCTAGGTCCCTTGAGTTAGATGTTTTTGGGACAAAAAGTGAGGACAACGGGAACGGGTAATCGGGTTGAATGATTTGATGGAATTAAATAAACTTAATTATTGTGGGTTGAAACCATATGCACTCACCAAGATCCCAAGCCTGACCCACTAAGTTTCTTGTATTATAGGTAGTGGCAATAGAGCATATGAGTGATGATTTGATGAGAGATCATTGAATTATAGACCATTAGAATAATATATGTTGTAAGGCATGTACTATTTCTGTTTATGCTTATGTTTTGTATTGAAAATGACATCCCAACGTTTTTAATATAATGAAAACACATTTCTTCGAAAATGCTTTGATAATTTTCTTATCATATCTTTAGGAACAAATTCCACAACATATTTCATCAAAAAAGATACGCTGATTTTCAAATAAAGCATAAACAAATCGGTTTTTTCTGGCCGTGAAATTGGGGATGTCATAGTTGGTATCGGAGCATTAGTTTAAACAAACTAGGAATTTGTAGGATTTCTAGACTTAAAAACTTAGAATGTTAAGCGATGATTGTGAGATGAGTGTCTGCTATATATAGACACAAGCATTGGCTTATTTTAGGAAAGATGCCTAAATTGCTCTCATATGCTAAATGATTTATGTTATAGCTATAAAGATGCTTTATATTTGATGGGATTTATGGTTTGTTGCCGACCAGATCTGGAAACCTTATGTGTTCAAATTTCTAAACGTTCAACTACGATATTAGAACTGGCATGTAACTTTTCGGAGTGACAAGGAGGATTTAAACGTCTATCGTAAATAAAGATCTAAATTCACCTACTTTGGTGTATAGATCATCATGGCAAGAACCCCAAATGGATTCGGAAACGCTAATGGAAATGCTAATGCTAATTAGCAGCCTGTGATTGAGCATGCACTAGAGGTAGCAGCTGCACCCGAGCCAATCACGATGACAGGAGTACAAGCAATGATTCAAATGATGTTGGATCGTCATATGGGAGAAACAAGGCGTCTGCTTCAACAGAATAAGGATGAACCTACTGTTCCTGTTGAACATCCTGAACTAAACGAGGGATAGTCAAAAGAAGGAAACTATAGCAGAACCGCCAGTGGTTATAATAAATAACCAAGATGAAGGAATTGAAAGGAACGGATGCATGTATAAAGACTTCACGACTTGCAAACCATCAACTTTTACCGGGAAAGAAAATCTAATTGGAGTTATGGAATGGATCTCTGAAATGGAGCTAGCTTTCATAACGTGTGGTTGCAAGGGCAAGCTACAAACCACTTATGCAATGCATCAATTTAGAGGTGGTGTTGTTCGCTGGTGGAACAATTTGGGGAAGACCATAAGCCCCAATAAGCCACTACAACTAACATGGGCATAGTTCTTTGTACACTTTAAATGCAAGTTCTGCTCAGCCCAAAACATGTTAGAACTAGAAAACCAGTTTCTGACGTTGAAGAAGGGAAACATGTCCA